CATGTCAAATTTCCTCAAGATAGAATCGATAATTTCTTCATTGTTAGATCCTTTCGGCCATGCTAGCGGACTCTCGTATTCGTCTTTTGTGCGAGCCAATTCCATCGTAATCTCGGAGTTTTCGGATCTCAAATTTGTCCGCTCCAATTTCAAAGCCTTATTCTCGGTTCTCAGCCTCTTTAGTTCACCATTGGGCTTGTCTTTGATCTTTACTTTGTCATCATGGCTCGTGTATGTATCAGATTTTACTTTGAGTTCTGTTTCGCTGTGCCTCCGTTCGCCAGTTTCGATCTTTATGTTTGTACGCGTGGCATCCGAGTGATCCTGTCTGTATTTAATCTTGTTATGAGCATCCACGAATCCTCGTTCGTAGTCCATTGCAAACGGATATAGCATATCGATCTCATTTAAGTGACTCTTGCGATCGTTATTTTCGTGATATAACGCAGCTGCGGCAAATCGCAGTGCCTCATACTTTGTTTGCTGGATTCTCAATTGATTACCGAGTATTCTGTACTCATTATCAATTTGATTAAGCCTCTCCCTCGCGTCATTCCTTTCTCTCGTCAGTTCGTCGTTATCCTTCTCCCTCTCGTCGCAGGTAACCTGCAGGAGAACATTCCTCGCCTTCGTTTTATCATTTTCGACTCTTAATTTATTCAATTCCACGGAAAAATATTCATTCTCCGCTTTCGCCTTATTCAAGCGCTCTCGCAGGGCGACATTCTCATCATCGAGCTCGTTAATACGCGTCGCCAGCTCGTTCTTTTCTGTCAACAGCACTCGTACGCGGTCCTCGGTCTCGGTAGTTCGGACAGACAGCGCATCCAAATCGCCGACGATCCTCGAGTTCTCCGATCGCAGTTGCGCCGTTTTAACAGCCGTGTCTTCGAGATCCTCTCGTGCCTTCTTCAACTCGAACTTTAAATTCTCCGCGGCAGTTTCGTGTTCGCTTATCTTCTCCCGCAGGCCGTTACGCTCAGACTTAAATTTGTTAGCTTGATCCTGCAACGCGGCGGACTTGTTATTGGCATCGGCCATCAACTTATCTAGTAATCCTTTTTCGAATCTTAACTTCGACAACTTTGCTTCAAGTTGTTCTTTCTCGTTCTGAAGCTGTTTGACTTTACTCCCTAACGCTTTGTTCTCCGCCATCGCTTTATCGAATTCTCCCAATGTTTCCTTGTCGGCGCTTGTCTGGACGTTCAATCGATACGTCAACGATTGCTCATTAGACTTTAAATCAGAAATTTCATCCTCCAGTTTCGCTCTGTCGTCGACTGCTTTATCCAGCGCGCATTTCAGATAGCCGATTCGCTCGTTCGCCCCGTTCAGGCTTATTTCAGACTCATTTGACTCGGCTTTCAAGCGCTCTAATTCATCCCTGAGGTTTCGCGCACGCTCTCGCGAATATTCGCCATTGTCTTGGTTCTCACCGTCGCTCTCCTCTACGGAACTTTTCAATTTGTCCAGTCCCTCGCGTTTCTCCTGTTTCCCAAGTCCCTCAATTATACTTCTCAATTTTACATTTTCGTCGGAAGCGATCCCAAGTTTCATCTTCAGGTCTTCCACCTCGGCCCCAAGGACCCCTTTCAGCGCATTCCGTTGAATAATAATATCCTCAATTTCCTTGTCTTTTTCTCGGAGAATATTACGCATCTCTTCTGTTTCCCTTAATAGCGCCTCTTTGTCATCGCAAAGGCCCTGCAATTTTTTTCTTACCTCGTCAATTTCAACCTTCATCAGTTGCATTTCCGCGACGCGCTGCTCGGAATGTTCGCGTTCACGTGACAATTCTAATATTTCTTGTTTCTTACTCTTTATATCTTCTCGAAGACTTTTGTTTTCGTCGCGTATGTCATTGATGATCCTCTCGTATTTCTTACAATTTCTCTCTAATGATAATTTAACGCTTACATATTCATCGTTCAGCGCATTTATACGCTCGCTTCTCTCCACCAGTTCCAATTTCAGATCCATGATTAAAGTTTCAAGGTGTACGATTCTTTCGCATAAACTCGCGCGATCATCGAGAATTTCGAGATCTTTTATTTTGCAGCACAATCGATCAATCAAGTCTTCCAGTTCCTCCATTATTTTTCCATTAGTGTTTATAATTTCTAACGGACTCTGTTTTATAATCGCGGTTAACGCAGCAGATTTTTTAACAAAATTTTCAAGTTCTACGACTTTTGTCATATATTGCGAGCCGCTAATGCCACCGATTCTGCAATGTTTGTCCATCGGATTTATTCTTAATTTTCCAATCTCGATATCTATTTCTTCTAAGAAATCATTTAATGATGAAGCTGTTTCTAAATATTTCTTATACTGAACATTTTCGAACGATCGTTTATGTATCGGCACGTTCGATCGTCTAAGTTCTACGGACAACACTTTTAGATTTACTTTTAGATTAACCACTTTCTTCATGTATTTCAAACAATCTGGATCGCCAGCGGCTATGATCGCCTCGCAATCGCTCCTCAGATTGTTCCTCAAGTCGTTCATCAAACGTTCCACGTGTCTAACAACGCCTGGAATATCCGTGGCGTCCGAACTTTCGCCGCAGTTCGCGTTCTCGCGAATAACTTTCAACCGGCCAATTTCTCCCATCAATTGTTCCGCAAGATTATTCAATTCGCCGATTCTCTTGCAATATTCCGCGTTGCCACCGCATCTCAACCTTAGCATAGCTTTCAATTTGTCCAGCTTGAGATGCAAGTTTCTATTTTTTGTCTTAAACCGATACAGATTCCCGCTAACGTTCACGAGCTCCTCCGAGAGACCGACGACCGTCTCGACGATCTTGCTAATCGCATTCGCGAATACCGCTTCTATCGTTCGATCGCCTCTCTCGAACTCGTTCAGCTTGACGCTCGTTTCGCCCTTTTCGGCTTCCTTTAGTTGCTTCCTCAGGCGCAGAATTTCGTCGTTCAAACGTTCCTTCTCGTTCGAGAACGCGTCTTCGATCCTAGCGATCTTATCGCTTATCTCGCAGACGGCGACACGCGCGATATCCTCTTCAGCTTTCATCAGAGTGTCTTTCAGACTCGTTACCTCGTTCTCTAGAGTGTCGTTCGCTTGCTCCAAACGGATAATCTCTGCCCTCTGATGTACGATCAAAGGGTCGATTTGCTGATTATCGTTTTCATTCTTGCCATCCTCGCGCAAAGCCATTTTCATTCGCCAGATATTGCTCTTCAGTTTTGCGCTATCGTCCCGCCAACCCTTCATCTGCCGCATCATGTTGTGGAGTTTATGCAAAGTTGCAACAGCCATCTTGGCGATTCTTGTCTTCTCTTCGATGGCGATGTCAATCGCGATCACTGGCAAGTAATCGTCGAAATATCCGTCACTCATTGTCGCTTCTTAAATTTTTCCGGGATTATGTAACATGTAACATAACATAATAAGCGTATAATTTTGCTGAACATTAATACCAGATGAAAAAGTTTTCAAAACTTAAAATTTTTGAAATATATGTTTATTAAATTTAGGCAATTACCTTTATATATTAGTTTTTATTGGAATAATATTAATTAATTTTGTTGAGGTTAACATTGTTAGTATTGTCTATAAATTTAATATAAGCATCGTGATTGTCGTTGGTATAAATATCGATAAGTATTTTTCATTATAACGTGTATGCGAACTTTATTACAGAAACTTTGAAATCTTCTATAAACGTTTTGTCAATATTTGAAATACTAATACTTGACAATTTTTGTATGTAGGTATATTGAAATGCCGTGAGAGAAGGAACGAATCAGACCGAATGCATCCGAAGGTAAGAAATCGATTTTTACATAGGTATGATGACAGAAAAATACAAATAGAGATATCTTCAATCTGTTTCAAAATTTGTCAGAATGTGACAACGAGTCACGTGGCAGCATGTCATTTGTACAATTAATATTTATATTTATAATACATCTTGTGACAACCCCGGTTCGTTGTTTCGTTACGCCAATTCGATTAATAAAATGATGATTTTGCACGAGCAACGGTGAGGAAAAAGGGGCGCAAAGTTTCGTAAAGTTCGGAACCCCGTATACCGTCGTGTTTTCCCCTTTCCTTTGCAATTACCGCGCAGATTTAATTGATGACGAGACCTCTCGATAAGTTCTTGAACAGAACCGAACCGTGGTTCAAGCGCTCTCGAAACTCTCGAAACTTAAGAAGCGTTCAGTATCGCTGCGCCGGTCCCTCTCAATATCGGAACACCTAATAAGACTGTTCTAACGAGGACTCGCCGGGCATACTGTGCGCGCAATTTAATTATAGCGACCGCTTAATTATGTGGGTCGTACATAACCGGTACTTCCGGTTTCTCGGTGTGGGAACTTCGCGAGAGGAAACTTGGTGAATAATGCGCGTGTCCTAATGTCTCCATCCGAAAGCTGCCATAAGCCACAACGATGGAATTTCACGCGTGATTTTCGACATGTGAACCGAAATTTTTGATGTATTCTTAGACATCGCGACATAGAACGTGGAAAAAATAAATTAGTTGACGTGATTTAGCGTGTCAAATTGTGTGTTATTTTGTCGTTATTAAATCGCTCGAAGTTTAATTCGCGATATTAATAAGTCGAGTTATATCGATCTCGTCAATGTTGAACTCGCCGAGAATAAAATTTCGACTTATACTAAAAGTATGACCAATGTCTCACGAATTTTCTTAACTTTTGTAACTTTTATGCATAAAGAATCAGCAAAGCTGTTTTGCAAACAATGTTAGATCACTCGACAACTGTGAATTATCCATGAATTAATCCGAGCTAAATAAATTCATTTTCTGATAATATTGGAAGGAAGTATAACACAAGATTGGAATTGGATGCTAACAATAGGTAACCTTTAAATTTTTTTGTACGATACGTTTTTACGAACATCGTAATGATTGCAGAGACACAGACATTTTAAGAATAAATCCACGTTTTGTCACATTATGCGCTGAGAGGTTAAACGTGATCTTTAAAATTATAACAGAGGTCATGGAGGATCGATATGCACCGCCGTTTTGTTCGTGTGGATGCCATGCACCACGACCGCTGAAATCGATCGAACCACCGCACGAGCCGTGCTGTTGCTGCGATTACAATCCTTTCAGCGACAATTCAAAAGAATCAGAGATCTATGATTTGCCGTTTGCCTTGCGAAAGCTGACGGTAATGAAGTGCCAGATGAAGAAGTGGCGCATGGAGCGGTTGCAACTCGAGAGCGAAAATAGGTCTCTGAAACAAGCCCTACAATCATTCGGTATCGATGTTCCATTCCATATATATAGTCGAACTTTTCTCTCTTTTGCTTCTAATATATTATTACATTCCTTATATACCATTTGAATCACATTAAGAATATTAAATCGGTCATATTTCTCTTATGGAATATTTCTAATATAACAGCTTTTATAATAAAAGATTCGTTCTATATCAGTCAGTTTTGTATACTTTCATCAAGATAAAATAATTTTTCAATTTAAATGTATAATTTGATGTGTATGTGTGTTCCATTGTTATATATTATAAATCCCATTCTTGTTCTTCGCTTTTAATTCTGCGGAATCGGTATGCATAGCGCACCGCAAGAGAGACCCTGCTCCTTTTAGCCGCATAAAAGAGGATTACGAATATATTTCGAGCGGTCAAATAATTTTCATGTAGGTGCGAAGCTCGACGGAATACTTGGTCCCGATCCCTTGCTCGTGCATTATCGCGAGGAAAATGAAAGGCTGCAAAATGCAAATGAGGAACTGGCAGAAAAAGTTCGCAACCTCGAGGAGAGCCTCGCCGAACGAGATTGCTGCGACGATCCCTGCGAGAAAGTTAAATACATGAGGGAGAAAATAGCAGCGCTGAGAGATCGTTTCACTGCCGAAAAGAAACAGTACTACTGCTAATTGAATATGAGATTTCGCCAAGGCAGCAATGCGTCTCTCTTTTCGCATATCTCTCCTTTTAATAGGCAGAAGAGTATTTACCCAATAAGTAGAAAAAAGACCGTACTCTATAAATTTATTATTAACTTAATAGTTTAGAAATTAATGGTTAAAAAGCTCTTTTTATTTCATATTTTGCAAAGTTATATATAGCTTTGAAAGAAGATTAATCACAGTTTACTTGCTCGCTTTATATTTCGTTGAAAATTATCAATCTTCATTAAACGTAGGACATTAATATAATTACGTGTAAACTGTTAATGTTTTAACAGAATGCGAGATACGATATCACATTTTAAGCTGAAACTGGCGGAAGCCGAGGAGGATACTTCCTGCGCGGCACTAAACCGTTTGAGGGCAAAGCTTCGCGAGTTAATGAAAGATGGTCAGAAAGCCGATCAACAGGTGTCCGTGGTTGTCGAGAGATCAATGCAGACGGTGGATCTCTCAGAGAGCTACGAAAATCTACGAATAGAGAACGAGCGACTGCAAGCCGAGTTAATGCAAATTCGTCGTTCAATCAAGGACGTTGCTGTACCGATTTTAAAAGACAGTGTCGCTCCTCCGTCTATAGATGAGGAAGAGATAGATACGTCGATGTTACGGAGCCGTCTTCAGAATTGCGAAGTGCTTCTGGCTGAATTGAAAACGCATTTAGATGAGAAAACGGCTTATGCGGAGTCTCTAAAGAGCGAACTTGAAGAGCAGAAAGCTTCTGCCGCATTGGCATTAGATATGGATCAGGTGACGGTTAGCCGTAAAGACACGGAGGACGAGATGGTTGAGATAAAAAAAGAGCTTTTTGATGAATTAAAGCATATTGAAACAATGAAATCCGAGTGCGATGAATTAAGTATTAAGAATGCGTCATTACATAAAGAAGTACGAGAAACACAAGAGGAACTGGAGAGAATGAAAGATGAAAATAACGAATTGAGAAACGAGATCGATAAGTTGAATGTTAATCTGCGTCTCCAGGAAGAAAAATTTCAAGTGGCGCAAGAGGAGCTGGGGGGTGTGAGAGACAATTTGCATAGTCTCGGAACTGAGAATGAATTCTTGAAGAAGGCATTGGAAAATGCTCAATTGGAGACTAATGAACTTAAAGAAGAAAATGTTGTCTTGAAAAACAATCTTGATAATATGATTAAGGAATTGGAATCTGCGAAAGACGAAAATAATAATATTAAAGCGGAGGTTGATCAATTATTATCTGAGAATAAGCATCTACGGGACGAGTTAGAGAAGCGAGTGGTGGAGACGGATCAGTTAAAATCCGAAAGACCTGCATTAAAGGACGGTCTTGATAGATTACTGGAAGAGATGGATATATTGAAGATTGAGAACGACAAACTAAAGAATGAAAATATTATTGTTAAAGCCGAAAGAGACAATTTAAAATCTGAGAATATTCTTCTTAAAGATGATTTGTCTAAGACATATTCAGCATTAGATGACGCAGAGAAACAATTGGACGAGTTCAAAATCAAGAATGGAGTTCTTGCGGAAGAATTGGAGAAGGCTAATGTAAATAATAATAAGTTATTCTCAGATTTTAATGCTCTGCAAAGCGAAATGGCAAAGTTAAAGTTGGAAAACAGAAAATTGTTACAAGAGGTGGATGATGGGAAGGAAGAACTAACAAAATTATTATCCAAAATAGAAAATCTGAGGAAGGAGATAGATGATTCAGGTAACGAATTAATAAGAGTAAATAACGAAGTTGTAGATTTGCGGAAGGAAACGGTTGAGTTAAACAATGAATTAAAGGAGGCGAAAGATATAAATGAACAATTAAGGACAGACGTACACCGAATGGCAGCAGACAACAAAGCTATTAAAACGGAATCGGATAACTACAAAGATGAAAATGATAAGCTGAAGACAAAGGTAAACGAAATGAAGGAACAAGTAAATTTATCGACGGATGAAGTAAATAAATTAAGAAAACAACTTGAGAACGCTGAGAATCGGGTTAAGTTGCTCGAGCCTCAGATCGCTAGTTTACAGACTGATAAGGACGAGGTACAAAATGAGATCAACGTTTTGCAAAACGAGATCAGCAAACTAAAACTAGATCTTAGTGCAGAAACTGCTGCTAAACGAGACATTCAGGAAGAGTTAATAGCATTGAAGAATGAAATGAAAAATTTGATCTCGAAGATCGATGAATTGAAAGTGCAAAATCATGCCCTAAAAGAAGAGAGAGATGCCCTCAAGAAAGAATTGTTGAATATGGGCGAGACATCGGCGAATTTAAAAAATACAAATGCTGAGATGACGAGCGAGGTTAATAATTTAAGATCGGCTATATCTAAACTTCAATCGCAGATATCTAAATCGGAAGAAGATATGGAATATTGGAAAATACAAAATTGCAAACTCAAGATAGATGTAGATAAGTTATCCATCGAGAATGAAAAGACAAAGGAAGATTTAAACGTCTGTAAGGTAGAGATAACTAATTCGTATTCCTCGCGTTTAATTTTTTATTTTTGATAATAATCATCTTGAAATTCATAGGTTGAGCGACAACCGTTAGAGAAGGAGATAATTAGTCTTAGGAATGAAAAGATTAAGCTTGAAGGAGAAATTACAGAGCTTAAAAATCAACTGGAAAGACTAAACCTGACTTCATTTGCCGAAAAATCTGCTAAAGAAAAGGCTGTGGGAGAATTGGCGAAAGTCAGCGACGAGGTCATTGCACTGAGAGAAGAACTTGAAGCATTGAAAGCTGAATTGACTAAATTAAGGACGGAGAATGATAAGATGAGAGGCAGAGAAGATAATCTGTCGCGTCAAGTATCAACGTTAAAAATAGAACTTGAAAATACAAAAAATGAGATATTAGCTTTGAGAGCTGATAATGACGCATTAAAGTCGAGAACAAATACATTAATAATTGAGAACAACGAATTTAGAAATGAATCAACGAAACTAATATCCGAAGTTGATGATTTGAAATTAAAAAACATAAATTTGACAAAAGAGCGACAGAAATTTGAAGAAGAGTATAATAAACAAAAAAGCGAGGATGATAAACAGAAAATTGAAATTACAACTTTGACATCAAATCTGATAGCTGAGCAAGTGTTATCGAAACAAATTAGGTCAGACTTATCTATTAGCCAATCGGAAAACGATAAATTAAAAGTGGATTTAGAAAAGCTGCAGAAAAATATGGATGCATTTGAACTAACATATGAAAAGTTGAACGATGAAGCAAAAAGTTTAAGGGAAGCATCGATCGATGCGCAGGACAAAATGAACAAGTTACAATATCATGTGGATGCATTATTAGAAGAGAAAAAAGCGCTTCTGAGCGAATTGGACGGTTTACGAATGGAAGTGAGTAGATTAGGTAAAGAAGTTATATCGAATAAAACTGCTAAGGAAGCTGCTGAGAAGGAGATGATCGTTCTAGGCGACGAATTATCAGCGCTGAAGACAGAATTGGATAAAAGACGCGCGGAAAACGAGAGTTTAGAGAAGGAGTTGAATGATATGAATAAACGATATGCTGGATTGGAGGCCGAAAGTGTCGTTCTGAGAACCGAAAATACTAAAATAGCGATAGAACTCGATTCCTTCAAGTACGATTTAACAATAGCAAAGAACGATCTCGATAAATCTGAGAATCAGAACGGCAAGTTAAAGAAAGAGATCAATGAGTTGAAGAAAATACTCGGCGATGCCGAAACGAAGATTAAATTTCTAGAAGGACAGCTTATTGACTTATCGAATGAAAGAGAGAGAGAGAGAGAGAGGCTCGAAAAGGAGGCGAACGACGCGAAAGCTCAGACTGCGATTTCAAAGGCTCATGCTGATGATGCACGAGCACAAATCGATGTCTTAGTTAAGGATCTAAATGCAGAGAAAACAGGCAGAAGCGCCGTCTTGAAGGAATTGGATACGTTAAAAGACGCTTTGGCTCATTTGCGGGATGATTTAAATATATGCCGAGAGGACAACGAGCGGCTAACGATCAAGTCAGCCACTTTGGAAGATCAAGTGTTGGTGTTACGGACGGATTTGAGAAAATCCGAGATTGAAAACGACAAATTGATGAAGGAATGTAGCAGATTACAGGACGAAAACAGGGACACGAGTGCCGAGTTGAATAACGCTCGGATCGAGTTGAATAAAGTGAAAGATGACCTAGAAAGATCATTGATAAAACATGATAAAGTGCAGCAAGATTTAGAAAAATTTACGATAGAAGAAGAGGAATTGCAAGATGATCTGATAAGAGCGCACAGCGATAAATTAAGAGAAGATATCGAGAAATCGAAAGACGACTTTGCAAAAGATATGGACGATATCGATAGGCTAAGAGACGAATTAGAAAAATTGACAATTGAAAATGGTATTCTAAAAACCAAAAATGCGGACCTGAAATCCGAATTGGATCGTTGTCAAGCAGAGAATAAGCATTTGAATAAACAGCTTGACAATTTGCAGAATGAAAACATTAGATTACTAAAATCTCCTATTTCTCCTGTTGAAGGTTTGTATGTACGGATTTTTTTCAATATATTAATATAGAATATTATATTTATATAGCATGTTTATAGATAATTAAATATTCATCATTTTTATCGCGTAGCTATTTATTAAATCAATGGGTATAATTTAGTCGCGTAATGCGTTTTATTCATTTACGGTTTTCGACGAGCCTTTTTCTCGCCATTGAATTCGTTGGCCGCACTCGCATTTAAAAAGAAGACATCTTTATAATTCCAGAGGCTGGCGTGATTAAACCGGATGAATGCGGCGACTTCGTTAAGGCGAATGAATTACTAAAGAAGCAGATTGAAAAGCAATATGACGGTAAAACTTGCATAAAAACTTTCCAACTGTTTTGCCACCTCGACAGTTTTTATCGCATTGCATATTTGCTTATTCATAGCTCTTAATTAGAGAGTCGGACTAATATCTTAATAAACTTAATATTTCCATAAACTTGTAATATTTGAAAGTAACATTTTGCAATATTAAATCATTATATCTCTTTTATTAATTATATGGTGTTAATTTTACATTGTATAGTTACCCAACGGCACATTCAAATATATTTTGTATGAGATGGGAAGCGTGAAACAAAATCTTATTACACACAATTTCTACAAAATGATTCGTATTTCTTTTAATAGCCGTACAACGTGTACGTGATTACATACGCTATGTAGATGGTAAAATTCCTACGAAACCCGCAATGGCGACGACGCTGGACGATGACTTCGAGATTCTGCGTTGGACGGTGCCATCCATCGTAGAAGCGTTAAAAGAATCTCAGAAACTGTCCGAGAATATTTATCTAGCGGAAATCGAAGTGCAAAACATTGATAAACTATTGGAACTGCTTAACCAATGCAAGAGAGATAATGAGAATTATATGAAACAACTATTGGTGAGAATAATAAAAGCATTAGTTTAATACGCGGTTCTATTTGATGATTTATCAAGAGGGTAATTCGAAATTTCCGACTTGCGCGTATTAACGCGGGAAATGAATCGTTTCTAGGAGCTTGGTGTAGAAGTTACCAAGGTTGCAGGTGTGGATAATGGCGATGAGCTTGCAGCTTTTGACCCTGAATCTTGGTTGAAGGTACGTGCGTATAGTGATAAGAGTTCATTTTGCTAATCTCGCAGCATTCCCTTCTTTACATCTATTAAATTTCATGATGATTTTTTTCTCTATGTATATAAACATCGTATACACAACAACCGCAAACAGATATATGAGAACATTCTTAGAATATAATTTTTTGAAACGCGAACGATTCGTTTCGCATCTTTCAGTCTTTGACGTTGACGCAATTGGCCGAGCTGCACGACAAGATTTGTCTATTGACTTCAAACATGGTGCAACAAGACAGCGGTCCCGCGGCCTACGATCGATCGGCGATTAATTGGGACTACGGCGGCGATCCGCTGCAAGCGGATTACGACGCTTTAAACCGGCGGATCGCCGCCTTGCAGAAGCAAATAGCCGAGAAGCAGATTGAAGCGGGGTGGAAGCTGCAGGAATTAAGACGAGCTCTCCGTCTCGAGCAGGCTAATCTGATTCAAATCTCCGACCGGATGAATCTCGAAAGAAGACGCAATTTGGCTCTCCATCTCACCATGAATGATTAGACGTGAAGCTTTTTATACTCGATTATATACAATTACGCTTGCATCGAGCAAGTTGTCATGCAGCAACGAGGCGAAATATATATCATATTCCAGTGTATTGAATAAAAGACAATACAAGAATTCGATTTTAAAAATATTCAAAGGACTATATGTGATACAGAATAATTCAATAATTTTGAAAGTGTTCGATCTTTTTGATACGTTATAGTTTTGTAATTAAAGCAACGCGTGTTGGGAAAAACAAAAGGGGTCAGATAAAATGACGCTTTCAACTGACCTCATTTATTCCCATGCTCTCCTATTGCACGATCCGAATGATTACGATGATTTTGTAGGCAATATAATTGCGATAACGCCCCATATTCAGCAACAACGGTTTTGTTGCTAATCACGATCGAACAATAACAACTAATGAGAGCCGCTTGTTTCGCGGCACACGCTTGTGCGCACTGCCACGTGCGATAACATGATTTCCTGTTTCATTTCGGAGGTCGCGTTGTTCGATCGAGATTAATTCAATTGTACCGCGTACCGCATCCGTTCCCACGACTTTACCAGGTTCGTCGAATGTGCGCGCGGGGTTCAATAGGAAGGCGAATGCTGTCGACAAAGAGTAAATATATAATTGAAATGCGCGGCTAGATCAAACGGTAAATGAATTTTCGAAATCCATTTAATATGTGTATCGACCGCACAGAATTGAAATAAACTCGTAAAATGCCGATAGAGAGATACGTCGCGGAAGAGAAAAAAAGAAAGAGAGAGAGAGAGAGAAAACCGGCGGACACTTTTTATTAACACAGCATGGACGCATCGACGATCTCGCAGAAGACATTGTAATATATCTTTTTCTTTCTTTTTTTCCAAAATGGATAAATAAATTATTTACATTCGATTTATGAGTTATACGTATATATGTCCCGTTATTTCAAAATTTTGCATCTTGACCTATGTTTTGCATTTTATAGAGCATTATACCATTGTAGATACAGTCGCGGAATTGATTGATCGCGATAGGATGTTGGATAATCTTTTCATGTTATATAACAAAGAAATATGATTTTATAAAACAATATTTTTATTTCAGTCGCTGACACTCGCGCAAAGATAAGCGATAGTTGGAAAATTATGAAAAGGTAAGCTTTCATTTTGCGATTAGTAGAATATTATAATAAATAGACGGATAATATTTAATTAATTATAATTAAAAAATATTGTTGTTTTTCACAAAGCGCTGTGTCAAAATGTATATTCACAGTACATTTATTTTGAAATAACTTTTATTTATTTAAATTATTTAATAACAAAGCATTAAAAATAAAATAAAATCAAGTAAAATGTAATAAAATTCCATAAAAATTATTATTAAAAATAATTATTTTTAATTTGCTTTCTTCTTTATACTAGAACGTACTAATCATAATAATTGTATCTTAAAAAATTAAAAAGGGGAATTGTCTCTCTCTCTCTCTCTCTCTTTTTCTCTTTGCCTTTCTCTATATATCTCTACTTACCTCTCCTTCGTCTTCTCTAACATGAAGTTGGATTGGCGTATAAGTTTCCGGGCAGGCGTTGATCACACGGAAACTTTGAGAAGAAACTTTCTAACGTAATTCCCGTTTTCTGATACACTAATGCATAATTTATAGACCGAACCCCTGTCCATTGCACCTCTTCAAGATCGACTCTGTTAGATGGCGACCATTAAGAACGCGGTTCTCGCCCATCTTCACGTCCGGGAAGTTGAAGGACATGTTTCACTTGTTGCTGAACTGTTCCGAGCACATCGAGAAGTATCCGAACGAGATAGTGCTCAAAGACGAGATCGTCGAGTACCGAGATCTGACGTCTAAATTCACCATCGACGTGATCTAATTGTGCGCTTCCGCCACATTGAGATGAATACCTTGAAAGAGGAGAACAATTTTACAAATTAAATCCTAAGCTCTTCCGTTTTGATTTGAAAACTATGATTAGAAACATAATCGGAGAGATACCGCGGTTCTTCAAGCATTTCGTATATTTGACAATGATCATAATGGACATCATTATATAGGATTCCATAGAATACATAACAATATGTGATGACACGATTATGTTGATGTACTTATAGATGTCATACCGAGAAGCTGGGCATTTGCAGTAGAAGAATATTACTTGTGCAAAAATTTCACATACACAAAATTTGCGTACGAAGATCATATATGTGCGTGATTATTAACTATATAGATTATTTTTTATAAATATTTATTTTTTATTATTATTTTAATGCAATTGTTTGCGCAGAATGAGAGAGACAGAGAGAGAAAATGAAAATATATATTTTGAAGGGACAACAAATATGAATACCGGTGGGGGGACCTAGTTCATCTTGATCCTAACATCTATCCTGACCCAAAACTCTTCCATTCTAAGCGATTAAGAAAAAACGATATTAAGTTAGTGAACCTGATGCACTATCTGCTATTCGAGATAGCTTAAGGAATTGCATTAGTAAATATATCGCAAAATTCTCTGTTTCGTCTCAAGATATTTTTCGTTCGAAACAATTATACATCTCATTTTCATATACATATATAAGAGGAGACTTTCGAGACTTTCAAAAAATTTAATATTTGTATATTGCAAGTATAAAGAGAGTATGAATATATGAAAGCTATACAAATAAGCATCATAACGTTTAAACAGCAGCGTTGTCATAACGCTCAGTATTCAAAGAATAAAATGGTTTTAAATGTCTGTTTTGAAACGTACAAGGCTAAGATTGGCATCGTGTGAATATTAAAAAATTAGAAAATAGAGATATGCAAGAAAATTGATTATAAACACGTGAATCAGCTCATTTCTGGATATCTCCCACCCTATAACAGTACATATTTGGAATTTACAAAAATCAGTCAAGATTGATCGATAAGACAGAAATATATCTATTATATAATATATATAGATAACATTTTATGAATTTTGTTTATAATACTAATTTTAAACCTCTTTTAATCGTACATATTTTATTGAGAGTTATATACATATATGAAATAAGTGACAATTTTTCATTGTAATATTAAGATGATATTCAGGTATTTCTCATTCAAGTAAGTGTAATATCTCTTCGAATATCATGTCTCTACAATGTGATCCTCTAGAAACTTGTTGCGGAAGCAATAAACTTTCGTCTAGTGTAACTTATTGCGCACCTGCGCTTTTAGTAAATACATCATAATTGTAATAAATGCGATGCTAGCGCGTTTATTCGATATGTATCTCGTATAAGTAATGTACGAGATTGATTATATAAATAATATTGTGCCGAGTTGCAAAATTACATAGGATCATTATCGGAAAAGATACATCTTGAGAAATCTCACTGCAAAGCCTTTCTTAAAAGTTTCTTTCTTGAAAGTTGAAACATTTTAGAATTGTTTTCAGTGTGATATCTATTTTGTGAAATTTTTAAATAAAGCTGAAAGAGAGGCAGTTGACGAGAAGTTAACATTTTATATTTTTCCAGTTATATTCTCGAATTTGAAATGTCCATGTCGATGGAATGCGTCTCTGGCGTGTACACATGTGTGATTTTTTTGGTTAGCCAACGTACACGTAAATCACTTTCACTGCCCGCGGGGTGCGCGAATTAAATCCGGCTTGTTCTGTAATTCAATTTTTAGCTTTTAATACTCGCGCTTTTATGCATTGGCAGTTGTCATTTTTCTTGAATTGTTGTATTTCGTTGCAACACAAAGCGCATGTAAAAAGCTGTGCGTGGTATGTCGGGATGCGTGGATATGAAGGATTAATTGCCAGGAAAATTGAAAAACAGGAATGTGTATATATATATA